CAAACTTCCAAAACATTTTTATTTTTGGAACAGAGGAAGTATGTAACGTAACAAGCTGGGTAGCTAGCTACCATGGTCAGAGAAAACGGAAACATGTGGTGGTGGACTCAACACGACGACGTTTCACTTTAATACAACACCAGAAGTTGTCGTCTTTCTCCGGCGTTGAAGAACGTTCAAACAAAGGCGATGATAACAAACAAAACAAAATTAACCCTTAATGTGTACGTTACAATTAATGACTTACTTTGTCTCTAATGTAATTAAGAACATGTGAAAGCCTGGTGAAAAATTTGAACTAACACTTGGGTTTCGATGATAGCTAGACTTTAATATAAAAGCATTTCAAGCTTAGATTCAGAGATGCATATTATGTTTGAATCATCAAACTGAAAAACAAACAAAGATGAAGATAATTAACAAAACAAAAAATGTCTACCTTCAATTAATGCAATTCAGAACACGTAAAAAATGTCTACCTTCAATTAATGCAATTCAGAACACGTGAACTAACAATTGGGCTTTATCTGATAGACTTTGAGTATAGAAGGATTTAATGTTTAGCTTCAGATTCACCACATATTATGCTTGAATACAAAATAAATAGAAGAAGATCATTATAGCTTTATTACCATGTAGAGAGATTGATGAGTGTTTGTGATGGTAATGATTTTATATTCATCTCATGATTAACTAAGGTACATGTAAACATATATATATAAGAAAACTATTTAACCTATTTTCCTAACTAATACAATCACAATAAAATATATACAACAAGTCTCACAAATTGTAAATACATTACAAAACCTAAAGAGTTGTTACTTATAACTTCTTGTCAAGACAATCTTTCTTGAACAATAACTCAAATCCTTTGTGGTCATGCCATTAGTGTGTTTCAACTTTCAATAGACTATTCTTCAACATATATACTATACAATTATCGTTTTAGCCACACAAAAAAAAAAAAAAAACTACAATTATCCTCCCTCAAATATTTATGATATCTTCAATATATCGTTTAGATTCTTCTATATATGAATATTTTAATATCTCACATCGCTAATTTTCTTTTTTTTGTCACGCTCTCACATCGCTAATTTATGAAGGGAGATTGAATATGAAATACAGAACAATATAATATCATTCTATTAATTGCTAATTGATTTTAATTATTTTTGTCAACTAAACATTTCATTAATATAATTTTCGTATTTTGGTATATGTTTCACTTATAAAAGAAAATTCAATCAATTTCAAACCAAACAGTCGGCTTTACCATTTAAAGAGTGTGATCAATAATAATAAAAAAAATTGGGAACCTAACACGGAACCACTGAAAGTATCCAAGATTTTTAATAGGATTGGAGAATGAATAAGAGAGGAGATCTAACGATTTTCAAATTTAGAGCCTGAGTCGCTTACATAAAATCAAATGTCTACAATTTTGATTTGCTACGTTGTCTATAGCTTCGTGGAGTGACCTTCCACCGTATTGTTCACGCACCTGTAATGGTGAGAACGAGATGTGAAGATTGTATATATGATTAGCTCTCTCACGTTTTTTTCTATATGCATGATCATTAAACCTTCTTACCCTAATCTGAAAACCATTGTCGACCTTTCAATTATTCTTTGTTTCAAAGCGATCAGACACCTTTTTAAACCCTACAATGTACTATTTCAGACAAGAAAATGTTAGTAGTTTGTGTCATTGCTATTGAATTGACAAAATTCTTTTACTATTTAAAAAAACTAATAATTGACTAAATAGAGAGACCTCTATATATATATTGTTTTGTTTTTTAGAGTTTGGGACCGTCTCAAGCATTGTCTTAACACGTAAACCCGATTTAAAACTAAAGTTAATATGGCTTAGATCAATTCCCTATTCCGACATATAATCATCAGAGAATAAACATTTTCAGTTACGACTTTTCTATTAAAAGAAACAAGAAAACATTCAAGCAAGTTGGTTCCATCATTTTCATGTAGTGCCGGTCGATTCCATACGACGACGTTACATACAAAACGACACAAAGCTCTCGTCTTTAACCGTCGTCGGCAAATGTGACCACTAGT